ACAATCTTTAGAAAGTTGACGGTCGCTAACACCACCTCGCGTTGGAATTTTAATCGCGTATTGTGAAAAAAAACAAACGGTACCGCGTGGCTTCCGCAACAGTCACATATCGAACAGCTTTCGCAATAGGTACAACTTAATGGCCAGCTTTTGCAATAGGTCAGTTCGAAGCATTTTAACTACGTAAGTACTTTAAACCTGGCTCATTTTAATACAATCTCTGAAATATTCGCAAATAGTTTTCCTCGATAAATTTCAATTATTTATCTCATAATTTCTAAGACATATTTACATCCATATATGAAATAAAATAATTATATCTCAGGATTGTTTTCCAAGTTTTTCCGAAAATCTTCGATTTTCTTATATCTTTATATTTCCTCTTTATTACTTTCAAATTTCTTTACACTTTAAAATTTAAAGAATTACGATTTTCAAAAATTTCCTCTTGAAATTATTTCCTTCGCCATCGATGAAACATCGAATTTAAGAAAAGCGTATAATCACATATAATCATCTCAAATCTCTATGATCAGACTTGATATTCAATATCGATTATCTTCGTACACTTCACAAATAACGAAAAATAATATACTTAAAAAAATTCCTCCTTCCTCGCAATTTCAACCAATATCCTCTTCAACAATTTCCAAAAATTTCAATCACATTTCATCCCCGATATCCAGTTCAAATTCTGCCATCACATTCCCATCTCCACCTCCGTTCCAATCTGACCAATCTCCAAAAAACATCCACCTCCAATCTATCGAATCTTCAGACAAATTTTTATCTCCGCGCATGATTTTAGAACATCTACGTCGCTCGATCTCGTACCGTTAAGAGCAGGCTTAGCCGCGATTTGAATATCAGAGCGTACACAAGGCTCAATAGGAAGAGAGAAAGAGAAAAAGAGGGAGAGACAGAGGCGCACGGGGGCACACCGTGTGCCCCGGTATACACATACGTGTGTGTATTCGTGAAGATCGATCGTGAAAGATCACCTCGTACGTTACCCCGGAACGTAGCCTCTTCTCGCGGTTTCGATCGTGCCCACGAACACCACAGTCCAGATTCCCAATAATATCTCGCCTTTGGAGAAGAAGGGAATCAACAAACGACATTTTCATCGAGAGACTTGGACGTGCAGAGATGCGTAACAGGATCACCAGTACCAATTGAGAATATCGAAGGAACGATTTTCCAACAGCGATAAACTTGACGTACGAGAGAAGCTAGGCGTTCCTAGTTACCGTCTCTTGCTCGACACTCTGCATTCCGCTTGGTGGGTGTGAATCTGTGGCACGTAAGCGTGATGCCTTCGATGATATGATATTGTATGACTGTTGTAATTTTTTTTTAATAATTCATTGAGAGGAAGAAGTAAATACAAGGGATTACGAGCATCTTTTCTGGATCTGTGAATCTATATATCATTTATGCATTAATTCGTTAGATTTAAGTATTATCATTAGAATGAAATCTTCTTTGTATCCTCTTGTGTCTTCTTAACAAAGGAAATGCAAAATTCGTCAAGGGATTTCAATTATAATAAATAATATTATAAATTTTGTCGTAATATAATTTTTTAAAATTATGTAGGAACGGATCTTCGTTATTTTTTTCAGAATATTACATTAATAGAATTAACGATATATATGTATGTAATTCAAAATTCTTTTAATACAAAGAAATTTTCTTCGAATTTCCATAATATTGTATCCACGATCTATATTTATCAAATCCATCGATCAAACATCTTTTTTTCATCGACAAAGCTTTTTTTCCGCGGTTCCAAACGCCGACAATATTTTCCGTTCCAACAGTTATTTTGACTCCTCCACGCTCCCCGCCAGTCCTCCAAGACATTATCGGTGACATTTGTCCGCGCCGGACAAAACATGTTCCGGTCCGGTAGGATGACCCTAACGCCGCGCCTTTTGTCGAGCGAAAGGTACCCAGCCGACCCGGCGTGTCTTTGTCATTATATAACGCCATTGTGGCCACACTTGCCCGGCGTGGAAGTCGACTATACCTTTGCATATTATTAAAATGACGATGATTGTCATTTTTCTCCCCCTCGTCCCACCGCCACGTCCCTCTTCCACCGTCGCACACCGTCACCTCCTCCACCCTCTCCCCTTCTCCACGTATATTCTCCTCCACTTTGGTCTGCTCTCGTCCTTTCCCCGCGACCACCAACACGCGCCGTACGAACGCACGTCTCGTTCTCGGTGTTCTCTTGTCGAAAACTCTTGGAAGGCGAAAAGAGAGGTATCGAGACGCGATTCCTCTTTCAACGATAGAATAGAATAGCGATATCGGTATATGGCGTATATTTCCGAGAAAGAAATAATTATTTAAAGAAAATCTTAATTTTTCTTGTAATGAGAAGAATTTTATTGCTAATTGCTGAAGCGATTGTTACAACTTTTTTTACTACGTTATGGTAATTATTAATTATGGAATATTTAAATTAGAATTACCTTTAAAGAATGTAAAATTATCTATTTATCTTATAATTGAAATTTGAAAATCAAAATTATACACTCATAAAAGGAACAAAGAATTGAAAAGTATTAATGGAAAAAGAAATCAATTCCTCTCAAAATATACCCCATTATTTTATATAAAATTTCGAAATTTCTGATCTCATCTCGTTTATTTTCGCTCTTCCCCTTCGATTTCTCTTCCTACATCCCTGCTGCATCTCCTCCTTCCCGCTTTTCGCGCCGATCCTCCTCGTCTCTCCAAACGGTGCTTAACGTCTGCTCGCGTCTCATGTCTTTGTTCCTCCTTCGCTTTCGACGAGGAGAATCCAACTCGTGTGTTTTCAATCGCAATGGTAACGTCTTCCTACGTGCGCGCGTGTATCCGCCGCGGAAACGATAATCGTAACTTTCGACATCGATGATGCTCGAAAGGAGCCGGTCGAACGCTACCAGCAGGGACACGCGAATCGGCCGCCATTCAATCACCTCCATACGAATGCAAATCGATGAACTCGAAGAAGATTTTATCCTTTATTCGTTATTTATTTCGGCCGATTTTTTTTTTTTTTTTAGAAATGAATACTTTGGTGAAAATTTTTCTTTCTTTTTGTTATTTAGAATAAGAATTTAATTTATCTTGAAGTATTGTTGTTATTATTATTATTTTTATTCTTATTAAATTTGCTTTTGTCAAAGAGAAGAGACAATAAGCAAATATGAATATTTATTTTATTACTATAAAGTAATATCTATGAAATGATTGATTTTAATTTTTGAAAAGATTAAACGAAATTGTAATCAATTAATTTATCAAATTTCATTCGAATCAATGAATTATCCTATTTTAAATCTTCATACATGATGGAAGACTATCTTTCGAATCATCGTTTTCATCTCAAGCCTCATCTCTGAAACAAATCCAATCGAACAAAAAAAAAGTATATGTATATATATTAAATATCGTAATTCGAAAATTTTACCATTTTCTCCTCGACGTTCGAGCAAGCATTATTCGATCGTGCAACGAATGTATTCCATAAATCCAGAGACTTATAGACAATGGCATATATGTTACCTAGCATTCATTCCCTGTCGTACCAGCCGCAACACGATCCATCAACACGAATTCTTCTCCATCCCGGGAAACAAAAAGCTTGGACTGCAACAGCCGTCGCGATCGGCCGGTTGAAGAGGATCGAGCCCAAGGAGGGGCCCCGATGACGCAACACCACGATTCTTTCGATCGTCCTCCGCCGTTTTCTTCGGTAAATTCGATACACCTGTGTGCCAATTGTTTTGACATGTGTCCCCATTGCGGCCTTCTCGCAAGCGGGACGAGAGGAGAGGAGCGGACACGCGCGTTCCGGCCATCTATTCGGCCTCTCGTCTCGTAAACGACATGCGGGTCGTACAGTCCGACATCGGAACAGGGGAAAGAGAATAAAAAAAGAGGACGAACGAGAGGAGG